CAATGAGAATCATCCCCCTCTAACTACTCTGCCGTAAGGCCAACCCCTGCCTTCACAGACAAATGCAGTGACCCCCACGACCATCAGTGACTTAGGCAGTGGGAAGCACCAGCTCGTAGGAAGACAAGCAAACACAAGTCAGGACTAAGAGGCACACTTCACTGTGGGTGGGAAACGGAGTGAGAGACCACATGCAGCATGTTCCCGCGGGACCCTAACCCCACTATGCTTAGTGCAGCAGCAGAGAAGCTCTCCAGGAACGGCCTGGGCAAGGACTCAGAGGGAAGGGAAGCAAAGTGAAAGGCCTGCTCTTACCCCCTGCTGACACCGGAACTGTGCATCCCAGAGGTGTTAGTGCTATCACCATTTGCAATGGGAGAGGCAGACACTGAGGAATAGGGACTTGCTGATGATTTTGGAGAGGTAGTAAAATTTCTGCTAGGCGCAGTGCTTGATCTGGGAGAGAGAAGCAGAAACAAGGCTACTGACTTTTTGCGAAAAGCAAGCCCTATTTAATGCCTTAGGTCTCTTCTCGAGAAATAAATGTTCTCCATATTCAGTTAAAGTAAATTGCAAAAAGCCTATTTTCATGCTACATTCAAGATAAGTTTTACTTAAGTCAAAGTCAAAATTTAATTGGTCTTCCTGTCTCATTTGTCTGCACGGTCCTATACTGAATCTTTCAGTAGAATAAACCACAGTTGACCTTCAAGGCATTCGGTTTGATTTATAAATCATAAGCTCCCCTGAATTTTAAGAGGTACCAGTGAAAAGTCATAGAAAAATGGCAGTAAGAGATATCTTTCCCCAAAATACTTGACCCGGATTAAACAGCTGGCTGTAAGTACACTAGAACAAAAAAAATGACAAGTTGGTTTCACTGTGCAAGGGGGGACTGCGTTTTTCTCAAATTTACCAAATGTGAGTAGCCTCTGTTTCAAACTCATGTTTCAATATTTTTCACAGCATCTTATTCTACATTTACTCCTAGTTTCAGATTAATTCAAGGAGTATTGCCCAAATCTTAAACTGATATCAATTTTATCAATTTTCTACTAAAATTTGTATAAATAGAAGGAAAGTAAATTGTTCTGCCCTATTTCCAATACATACAACTGTGATTTTCCTTCTAGATTTGGAGTTATTTTTAGGATATGGAAAATGATTAAGACATGCTGTCACGGCACAGTGCCCAACCTCATGGGATCTGATGTCAACCAGGGTTCCCGTGAGAAGAAAGAGAAACGTGACAGCAGAGATGAGCAGAGCAGTGGTCCTGCCTATACCCACACCAGCAGTGAGCAGATGTCAGGAAACGTTCCAGGCCTGAATGAACTGAGTTCTGCTCCACACTCGGAGGTCACAGCAAGGGGGAGAAAGCGGGGCCCTGCAGCCTCACACCTCCCCCACCAGAAGTGTCCTCTCTCCAGTCCTAAGGACCATCGGCTTCAGAGCCTCATGCTGCAAGAGTCCAAGAACCCAGGCAGCTCGTTAAGTGAGACCTGTCAGAGCCAAGGGCACTGTCTCCCACCACACGGGTGACCCAAGCACACATGTGAGGCCTGCCCAATGTGGCTCAGGTATCTGCAGCCTCCTATGTCAGGAGGAAAGTCACTACCCAAGGCTGGTCTGATATGTCGGACTGTTACCTCAGGTATGGAAACAGGTACCACAAGATAGTGAAGTTCAAACTCTATAACATACAGAACTTCAAGGTGTCTGGTCTAACACTCCCCATTTTAGTAACTGTTCACTGGTAACTTATTCTATTTCCTTGAACTTAAAAGGGCAAAAATCTATATAAGCCATTATACATATCCAAGACCTGTCAATTT